TCAACGAACTAGTGGAATTGGCCACCTGTGCAATGTGAAACTTGTCACTTATCAAACAGCAAAACGGAAAATTGCTAGAAGGTGACAGGGTATTTTATAGAACAAAATGTTCCAATTTTCAACCCATTTCACAAAGTGTTTTCTTTGTGTGTCTTCATTTTATTTTTGGCGAGTGTGATTTTTTTTTTTTTTCCTGCGTCCTCTGTCATTCTTGCTCTGGCTTAGAATCCAGAGCTGCTCAGCTTCCTCTCCTGACCTCCTAGTGACAGCGTCATCATTGTTCCTGAGACTGTGATTAGGACTCGTGATGGTTGCATGACAAACCTTCCCAGGGGAGGGACACTCACTTGTTCCAGAGCATTTGTTTTACTTCAGTGAACACGACCAAGAATGACTTCAGAACAGAGCTGACTATTACCTGGAAGTGTTGGGTTTTTTAAACAGGAAAAAAAGAAAGAAAGCTTTTTCCCTTAAATAATCAAGTTAATAATTTAAACCCAACACATGAAAATCTTCTGTATACAGATAAACCAAAGGCATTTACTGGAAATGTAGAAATCATAAAATTTCATTTTTCTTTTTTTAATTAAAGTATAGTTGATTTACAATGCTGTGTTAGTTTCAGGTGTACAACAAAGTGAGATATATATATATATATATTCTTTTTCAGATTCTTTTCCCTGATAGGTTATTACAAAATATTGAGTATGGTTCCCTGTGCTATACAGTAAGCCCTTGTTGGTTATCTATATAAAATCACAAAATTTAAAGACTGGGAATAATTTTAAGAAATCTCTAGTTTAAGGTTGCAAACTCAAATGCCTATAGGAGCCAAACAAGTCACATGAGTGAAGCCAGCTATGTGACAATCACAGTCTCCTAGAGCTGGTGAGGATGCCTGCTAGTGGCCTACATTATACCCAGTGTAGCCTTATTCCTTATTAGCAGAAATCCTATTTTGTTCAGAATGGCTCTTTGCCCAGTTAAAATACTCACCTTGGTAGAATCCCTTGCAGCCCGTGGTGGTCAGATGACACAGTTATAGCAATGAGATACAAGTGGAAGTCTACAGGGTAAAACCACTCGGAAAACTGTTGTTTTTCCGAACAGGAAGGACAGCCCCAGCAGGCACAAGACTTTTATCATTTGCTTTCTGTCTAGAACATGGTCATTTGTCTTGCTTTCTGTCTAGAACATGGTCATAATGCCTGGACAGAGAGTAGCCATCTTGTGGCCATGGAAACAAAAGCCATGCACTAAAGGTGGTGATGCAGGAACCAACTCAGTCAACGAAGATGTTTTGAGTATTTACCCTGTGGCAAGCATGGAGGAGCAACAGGGCTTTATTCTCATGGGCTTTAAATTCTAAAGGGGAATGAGATACAGACAGGAAGGATGCCGGCTACTAGTAAGTTCTATGAAGAACAAAGTGAGAACAAGGTAAGAGGGTAGAAATCGGTGCAAGTCTGATATTAATTTAGATAGGAGAGTGGGAAAAAGTCTCTCTGATACAGCAACATTTGAATTATAGTCTTTTATAAGAGGTAACTGGAAGGAAACAGGGCCGTGTTACTGTTAGCTCTGAGGAAAAAAGGGGTCGTTGGTTCGCTATGTTTGAGAAACCTTGAAAAAAATATTCTCTTCTTGGTGAGTTATATTGTGCAGTAGCGCATTAAAGGTTCTAGGTAGTCCTGAGGTAAATAAACGTATTTAACTTCGCCTAATCCAGAAATCCCCAGATTCGTTTGACTTGGAACATTTTGCTGGAGTTTGTCCTATCAATCACCTCTGGGAAAGTTCCAAGTCATAGTCTTGGGAAATGCTGGCTGTAATTGCCTTAGGATGGAAACAATTAACTATTGCTGAAGCCATGAGAGAATTAACTGAAACTGACCCCATTTGTTTTTTAAGTTCTCATAAATAAACATTTTTATTCAAATAAAGTTAAGAGCCCCAGATCATGGTGTTCTGTTATTTAGCAAGCAAAAATAAGCAAACAAAGAAGAAAAACTTATAAACAAGGGGCTAGTGATACTGCAGTAAAAGTAAGAATTGTAGGGAATTTACCATGGTAATAAAAAAAAAAAAAGAAAAAAATTACAAAAATCTAACTTTTCAGGGAGAAAAGTGCTCTTCCATATTTGTCACCAAATACCCTATTTCCTTTTCGCACATTGCATTTCTCTTTTGCCCCATGTTTCAGTTTCAAGGTATTTATTTTGCCTCTTTTTTTTACTGTGCTGTGTGGTTCATGACGGCAGAGACTGAATCTTGTTCAACTTTCACTTCTAAAAGTGTATTATAGGACATGGCTCATGTTAGGTGCTATGTTAATAGACAAAGTCATTCAGAATGAATATTACATTATTGTGCTCAGTCACTTCACATTTGTGCTCATTGTTTAAAGTCAGTCCAGGAGATAGATTCATTGAAAATATTGCCTCTTCTTACCTTATTTCTCAATATCATTTCCTTCCCCTGCCATCAGAGCAGGTTCAAAGTTCCTACACAATCTGAGTACACTACATCCATTAGGTCAAAAATATTTTAACATGCTAACAGTCGTTTGAGCCGTACAACAAGATGGATAAACAAGTCGATTTCTTAGGAGGCCTTTGCCAGCCAATCCATCCAATGTTCAGCTCTGATTATATTTTAGAACTCAGGGAAGATTTAAAAAATAACAGTAACTGGATTGCTTCCCAAACCAGTTAATTCACTTTTGTTTTTCTTTTGGTGAATCATCTGTGGGTTTTTATTAAAACTCACCATGCAATTTACATATGTCACAAGTGTTGGGAACCACTTTGTACTGGTCAAAGTAACTGAAAGCTTAGGGACCATCTGAGTGCAAGTAGTGAAATGAAGGAGCATAGGGGTGGGATAACATTCAACATGGTATGCAAATGGACATACACCAGGTAGGAGGATGTGTTAGCCTGGCCTTGGTAAGTTCACATCAAACAATAGCACCATCTTTATTCAAGAGACCTTCCAGTACAAGTCAGCTGACACAGACTCTGGAAATGCTTTAATCCTTTTGCAAAGAAATTGCCCGAAGATCCTCATGAATCTAAAAACCAATGTGACATTCACATACCACACTAAAGACAAGATTTGAAAGAGGTGGGCATGGTAGTATATTACAATGCTGCTCTGAAAGTCATCTAAAACACTTTGTGTCCTACAGACAAGAAAAGGAATAATGAGCATCTGTACATGCCTTATTTCAATGTAAAAGTGGAGTGTTGGATTTTGCTGACTGTGTATCCACAAGCTTCTATTCAGAGTCCAGCTGCTACAATTAGTAGCTCAGCTGACAATCCTTGGCCAAACATGTATTTTCACCTACCCAATATCATCGTTGCCTTTTACCCCTTGCTTAACCACGGTTCACTAATACAGGCAAGAGAAGTTTCCTGTTAACTCAAAGAATGTTTTATACAAAATATTCCCCAAAGGCACACTCTTTGATTTCTACATACATCAGTCAATCTCTGAATGTCTACTGAAAATATAGAGTAGGACTTCATTAGCTTTAAATGATTCTATTTCGTATATGATATACTCAAATAGACTAAATTCTTCCAGGGTGGCCAGCATATCTTAAATAATACACTTCCATTGTTGAAAAGTCATGGCGGAATGCTGGCATAAGTGTAGAAAATCAATAACTACATCTTAATAATTTACCTGTCAAACATGCTTATTTCTTTTTAAATTTTATTTTGAAACAATTGAAATAACCCCAAACTTACAGAAAAGTTGTGAGTACTATAGGAAGATCTTGTCTTTTCTAAACCATCTGAAAGTAAATTTCACCCTAATCACCCCTAAACTCTTCACTGTCATATTCTACAAACAAGGACATTCTTTCTCATAGCCACACTACCACCCTCACACCTAGGTAGTTAGCACAGATATATCATTAGTACTATCTAACTTTCAGACCCCCGGTCAGGTTTTCCAATTAACATAATAATGACTTTCACAGCAAAACAGTAAAAACAAAACAACAGGAACAGCAACAAAAAACCTAGTTCAGAATGACACATTGCAGTTAGCTGACATATCTCTTCAATATCCTTCAATTTGGAATAATTTCTCCATTTTTCCTTGGCTTTCAGAACTTTGAATGTTTTAAAGATTACAAACCAGTTATTTTGTAGACTGTCCTTCAAATTTGGGCTTTTCTGATGTTTTCTTATGGTTAGATTTCTTATGTATTATGTATAACATTACAGCAATGATGCTGAGTTGTTCACATTATATCATATCAGTAATTTAGATTTGTCCCATTACTGATAATGTTTACTTTGATCACTTGAGTAAAGTGGTACCTTTTAAGCTTCACTTTGGTAAGAGAACCTGTTGAAAAGGACATAAACAAAAATTGGGACAGTCAAAATTTCACCAAGCAAACATGCTTATGTTCACATAAAGCACTTTAATTTAGGTAATACCTTAACTAAAAGTAATATCAATACTATTTTGCATATATCAAAATAGTAATGAAGGACACTGTTTAGTGTACATCCATTCATTATTGACACCTGAGATTTCCTCATGGAACAGTGGAGAGACCTAACTGCCAATGATGGTGAAGGTAATGATCATGGTAGTGATAAAGCAGACAGAGAAATTGGAATAGAATACTTGGGAATAGAAGTCCTCTAGGTCCACTCTCAATCTTTCTACCTTCAGGTTCACAACTTCAATTTGAAATGGTGGCTTTAGGAAACTTACAACCTGTCAAGTATGTGCTTTGGTCACAGTAGGTGTCAGATGTCTCTGATGGTAGCTTGCACAAGGCTTGGCAGTTAAGCATTAAGCTAAAAGTTCTCCTCTGAATTGTCTCTTCACACTTCTTTTTAGGTTGTAACAAATAATTTATGCCTCGTATGAAGGTAAATTACAATTTGCTTATGCATTTACATGAAATATTATTAATCAGCTCTACACTTGATTTATTTAGAAAGCCTTATTATGCTCCAATATACCATTCAAAATGCTGGCTGCTTGCTTTTCAAATACAGCAGGTATATGTCCTCCTGGGCCCCCTTGGAAGCTGCTTTCTCCCTCACAACCTCAGCAGTAAAATTCCGCCTGCTGTAGCACTAAAAGGGAAGAAAGGAAGATATTAACTCATGTGTGTATATTATTATGTATCCCATTATTGTTGATTAACATATTATATTATATTGAATACATAATATATGTCAAATATATTATGTATTAATATATATAAAAGTATATTGATCATATAATCATATTTCAAAAGGGAAGGAAAACAGACTAGTAAAGTTATATTCCCTCCTCGTATTTTACACTATAATAAATTCAAACGGATTAAAGATTTACATATGATAATGAAACCACCAGTTTACAAAGAGAAGTGTAAGTGAATAAAAGAATGTGGGGCTTCCCTGGTGGCGCAGTGGTTGAGAGTCCGCCTGCCAATGCAGGGGACACAGGTTCGTGCCCCGGTCCGGGAAGATCCCACATGCCGCGGAGCGGCTGGGCCCGTGAGCCATGGCCGCTGAGCCTGCGCATGCGGAGCCTGTGCTCCGCAACGGGAGAGGCCACAACAGTGAGAGGCCAGCGTACCGCAAAAAAAAAAAAAAAAAAAAGAATGGGGAAGGTCCTATCATGCATGACAGGCACAGGGGAAAGATCAATAAATCTGACTACATAAAAGTTAAAATTTCTCTATGATGAAATTCACTATAAATAAAGTCAAAGGACAGTATGGGAAAATCCTTGCCATGTGTTTGAAAAACAGAGGTCTAATAGTCTTAGTATGTAGATATATTTTAAAAAATCAATTTTTAAAATAAAGGAAACTTAGATTGGAAAAAATGGCTTAAAAATAGAAGCATATTATTCACACAGGAAAACACAAGTAGCCCACAAAGCAAAATTTCAAGCTCATTGGTAGTTAAATATAAAATACAAAGAACAAAATACTAATTTTAGCCCCTCAGGTGGTCAATGATGAAAAAAGAAAGATTATCCTAGGGTAGGTAAAGGTGTATAATTTCTATTTTGTCTCTAAACATGTTACTTATATATATTGCTTTTAAAATATTCAAAAATTATGAAACAATTAGTTGTGAAATGTATGGGTTTTTATGGGAAAAGGGGACTAAAAATCAACACTTTTGACATTAAAAAGTAGTGTTTGTTTGCATCTATATAACCTGTCTGATCATACCAAGAAAAATAGCTTGTTGGATACAATAGCAAGAACTGTACATCTTCCAATGAATACTGGTTGTGTATGTAGCCACAGGATAATGGAATTGAAGTGAATAATAATCATACCTAGGAAATGATATTTCTTTTCAATATGTACTCGGGGACTATCATAGCAGCACAAAGCTGGATTTTAATTTTCTTATTCCTTTACATTTATTCCCAGTGACAAAATCTTCTGATTACCATGGCTTTCTAATGCATTTTAAGATCCCCTTCAATACTCGACTCTTTTAGAGGTTTGCCTATAAGCAGATATTTACTCTTCCAGATCAACCTTAGAATCATTTTATCATATTCTAGAAAGAAGGAAGATTTTTATTAGGACTGAATTACATTTATATATTAATTCAAAGAAAATTGACATCTTTGGAAAACAACTCTCCGTATTTCAATTCTTATTTTATGCGCTTCAATAACTTTTTTATAATTTTATTCATGAACGTACCACATATGCCTTGGTTATTCTTAAGCATTTCATTTTTTGTTTCTACTATATTTAACTGGTTATAATCAAAAGGGGATTAAAAAGTTTTGTAAATTAAATTTTAAATGACTTCCTTGCTGAACTCAGTTCTAACACCCCTCCCTCCACCCAATTGGTTATCTTGTGGTCTGTATATATACAATCAAAAAATTAAATATTGACAGTTTTGCCTCCTTTCTTCTCATGATTACACCTCTTTTTTGTTGTTGTTGCTGTTGTTTCCGAATGGACGAACAGGCTCTTGAGAGAAAATGCTAAATGTAATGGTGATATTGGCATTCATGTCTTGTTTTTTATTTTAAATAAAATCCTTCTACTGTGCTGCAAATCACTGGTTGAATTTGACTATTCCTATCCTATTAAGAAAATATACATGACCATTTCAAAAGATGTTTTCCACGTGAAACATTCTAACAATGTCACAAATTTATCAAATGTCTTTAATAACTATCAAGTGAGTTGCCTGATTTTTTTTTCTTTTTAATCTATTAATAGGACAAATTATGTAAGTAGATAAACTGATTTCCTAATATTAAAACTTATTTTGCGGTACGCGGGCCTCTCACTGTTGTGCCCTCTCCCATTGTGGAGCACAGGCTCCGGACGCGCAGGCTCAGCTGTCATGGCTCACGGGCCCAGGCGCTCCGCGGCACATGGGATCTTCCCGGACCGGGCACGAACCTGTGTCCGCTGCATCGGCAGGCGGACTCTCAACCACTGCGCCACCAGGGAAGCCTTTTTTTGCATTCTTGAATGTACTTTACGTAGTCATGTTTTATGCTTTTTAATGTGACTGTATTAAAATTGCTATAGATGTTGATCATAGAATATATGTTCTTTGCATTGTTTCCTTTCTACAGCACTCTTTAAATGCTGCAGAGGGTGTTGTCCAGAATTCTTAAACGTTTTTTGATGACACTTGTAATGAAACTTACTGAGGCATTGAAAAATTTACCCTGGTAAGACACTAAATTGGCAGTAACATCTTGTTCTAGCAGCAAGTTCCTGTAAGTCTTGATTCATCCTTTTACTCTCTAACCATGCATTTTAGATGGACTCTCCATGGTACAAATTAATGACCTATCTAAGGTAATGAGAGATCTCCTAGACTGAGAGGTACTGTTCAACCGATACGTATATGTTTCTTCCTAATTATCTTGGTAGCTGCCAGCAATGAATTTAAAGGAGAACACATTAGTGCCAGTACTCAATACTGGCATATAAAAACATTTTTATAAACTACTCTGAATGATGAAGAAAAGAAAATTGGCAAACCACCAAGGCATTGTGTTCCAGAGCCAGGAATGTGATTCTGGAATATTTCCACTGTGGTTTTCACTTCAGAGTAATTTGGAAAACAGGCCATAAAACTCTGTGTGGGGATAGGTTATCCAAGGTAACTCCTCTGTCAAATGAGAAAAAATATTAACAATCTTAGACTCATAAGAGAGCATGTGTTACCAGTTATTAAAGCTAATAAGGCAAAAAGAAGGTTGTTTCACATTTATATGCATGTGTATTACATATAGGTGTGTATATTGTATATATATGTGTATATATTATATGTGTATAATAATGTGATATATTATTCAGTGGATACAAAGAGACTTTATTTACTTATTCTTAAAATACCCAACCATTAATATGCTAATAGTGTGGGTGAAGAATAAATAACAGCTCAGTCTCACCTAAAAAGCTTGTCTGAATAGAAGCATTAACTATGTATATTTTGAACTGCTGTGGAAAAGCCTTGCCTGCAAAGACAGAATCAACAGAGTTTAAATGAGAGATGAGGTTTTAAATAAAGAAATTCACAATTGTATCAATCCAGGACTGTCATTTGTCACCCTAGCTTCTTGGGACCCAACAGTTTGTTGTTAGATGTTCTTATTTATATAATTATGTGTCTTAGAGGCAATCTGAAAGCTGAGGTGAGGTTAAAATGTGGGTTGAAAACTATGAACTAGTTAGGTGAAAATAAGTGAGGACTTCTGCCAAAGCTGCTTGAAGCAAACTGGTAAAGCAGGGTGAGTTGTCTGTGTTCAGTGTTTCTCTCCTCCTTCAGTGCCCTCCTACCTCTTCATTGGCATCACTACTGAAACTTCAGGTAGTTAAATCCACTCCCAACCTATTACCTTATCAAAATCTTCTCCCAGATTCTTCATTTGGAAAGTAAGATGGGAGTCCGTCTTAATGAGGCTACATCCTAAACAAGCAAAACTGGGCCAGACAGCACTTTAAGGTGACATTAATCATGTCCACACTCTGCAGCAGCCATTGTACTACCTCTGCAAAGTAAATGCATCGTTTTCCTGCAATAAAAAAAAAAAAAATGTCCTTGCATTTCAATAGGACTTAAAACCATAAATTAGAAAGATGTAACTAACATGGAGAAAACACAGAGTTAACCTAGCATGTTGACCCGGTTCTGAGTAGGGATGGGTAGTGAGAGTTTGGGGAAGGGGACCATGAGCCAGATCCTTCTAGAATTTCAAATCTTATCACGTGTCGATGACTTTATGAACCTATTTTCAAGAGTTTGGATCTACAGGTTTGTTTATTTTCTTTTATTTTTACAAGTTTGATAAAGATGTAGGTCTCTCAAGAACAAAATGACAGTCATAACTCAAAATTGATAGGAATTTTCTCCATCTTGTGGGTAACACTGGCACCTGGCTAAAAATTCCAAATATCCCAGAAACAAGTGACTTATTCAGAGCTAGAATAAGAAGGCCAATACATTTTGTTGCTTTATTTCACAGGGAAAGAGAATCAAATATTTTACATTGGTTCTTTTCTTGTGTGTTTGCATGAAGGAACAATTATATTTTTCTACCATCTTGAAAATTTTATAACTTCTGGGAAAATTGAAAGACATAACACAAAAGGTGATGTCTTGAAATCATATAATCAAGATGTTCCAACTCAAAAAAAAAGCAATACTCAATCTTTTCTTCTCCCCATTAAAAGTAGAAAAAAATGTTCCTACAACTAGAAAGTATCAGAAACTATTAACAAATGTAAAATGTGGCATGAGGCAGGGAATAACTTTTAAAGAGTTAATGAACTCAAACTAGTTTGGGAGAAGAACAATTTTAAGAACACTTTAAGAGGCTTAAGCCACTTAAACAGGAACTGTGAGAATAGTGTGCAAAGGTTCCTTAAAATCGGTTTTAGAAAAATTTGATTTGCAGTCCAGTTGGACAATTGAGAGGAAGAATCAACTAAGCTAAACATGAAAATATTATAAAGTATAGAAAATCAAATTTGAATTCTGAATATTTCCAAATATCATTATTATCCAAATAATACATTATTCATAAATTTAGATTTGGGGTTGTAACACAAATAAATTTGTTGTTTTATTAAGGCTTATTCCTATAGCATTCATCTTAATTCCCAGTGTCTTTCAACTCCATTTTCTATTTTCATCTTTGTTCGATCAACCTGACATTTGTCTGGCTTATCACTCCAAACATATGTATACCGCAAATATCTCTTATTGGTTGAAGAATAATGAGAAGAGAGGAAATCTATCCAGTTTGGGATCTCTGACTAACACATCATTTTGAAGGGCATTCTTCATTCAGGAGCTTTTAGGGAAAAGCACAGTCCTCAGCACAATTCCAACTGGTTGATTTCTGTTGATGGAGTTCTTCAGAAATTAGATTTGGAAATTCCAGAAAACGGCCACACTACCTAGTGTTCCCCCAAGATCTTCATAAAAAGCACTTTCATTTTATAATAAGAGAGACCAAAAATAAACTTCCCTACATTCCTATTATTAAGTATTAATTACTACATTTTGGAGGGTATGATGTATGATTGCTATCACAGTAGTGAACTTGCAAGAAGAGAGTGTGAGAAGAAACAGGAGCTGTCCTAAATAATTGGGCAGAGGATATTTATGGTGGATATTCTAGCCTAAGACAAATGATAGTTTCTCAAAATGTTAAATATGTGCTCAAACCATGAGAATGTTGAGAAATTTTCTCCAAATGGAGATAGTGGGGCAGAATGGAGAGTAGAGCTGAATTTTCTTTTTCATTTTTCATCTCATTTCATTTTGGGTTACAATTGGGATTTCCCCTGTATCATGCACACTCAAGGGAAATTTCCTCCGACAGACTATAAGTTTTGGACGTGATATTCTTAGAATTAAGTAAGTGCTTAGTGCTAAGCGAGAAGCTGTGCTTCAATATGGAAGCACAGCTTAAAGGGTGCATCCCTTTAAGATAGAATTTATGATTCATCAAGAGACAGGGTCCACTTTCCTCTCCATTTTCTTCTTCACATTTTGAAATCAAACAAGGATTACAGTAAGACTTCTTTTCCCCTTAATGCAAACGTTGGCTGACAGTGTCAAAGAAAAGCAACTTCTATACTGTGCCAGCAAGCATAGTTGATCCTGTGTGTTTAGGAACCAGACAGACCAGGAGAAACCAACCTCCACACTTTATCAGCTGTGTGACTTTGGACAAATTACTCAACCTCTTAGTGACACAGCATTTCATCTGTAGAACGAGAAGAAGAAGAATACTTATCTCACAAGGCTATGGTGAACATTAATAAAACAACCTGTAGACTAGTGCTTGGCACTAAACTTGGCACACCCTAAGTGATCAATAAAGGTGAGTTACTGTTATTATTGCTATTATAATTATGGAATTTATGTGTGATTTTGATTATTAAAGTCAGAAGATGAGACATATTTTCCCAAATCCCAATTCTCTATTATTGTATGGCTTACCTTTTTCAAGGAACTGAGAATATTTCATAAAAACATTTCTTAGTCCTAAGCAGTTTTTATTTAATTGTGAAATATGAACTTGTTTTTTTTGCAGAGAAATATGATTAAAATTCACTTTATAAACACATTTTATTTTGTTCAGGGCTTAATAACTATCTTCCTAGTGTTATAAATCTCACCTTTAAATTTCCAATTTGCATAAAACAATCAAAAAGCGATTATCATAAAGAGCCAATCAACAATATGAACTAAAATTAATCATCTATCACTCAGTTATAAGTGGGTCATAGAAACTTAATCTAAAAGTCTTACATTTCTTTTTATCATTCTGCTATTTTATAGAGCAGTTACAACTAAATTTAGAGTGTCAGCTCTGTAAAATCATTCTCTTAACAAAGAATCTTTGTTGAAGATCTAAATCTTGCACAGGACACCAATAAACTTAGGCAGACATTTTAAAGTATTTTTTCTAATTATAAAATAATAAAGGAGCATAGTGATATCTTTCCCATGCTTCTTTTACAGCAACAGCTACTGTTCAGTCATTTTTAATATACCATCTCTGAATTGCTAGAATCTTTCCAAATCTTTTATCTTCAGGATTTTTGTTAAGAGCATTGACACCACTGAGATGTGTATCTCATTTTTTTTTTCTTGTCTGGGACATAGAAGGAACACACTACGTTCATTAAAGGGATAAATAAATGGATGGGTGAATGAATGCATGCATGAATGAATGAATGAATGAATTCTCTCTTCAAGTCTGTTAAGTCTCAAAATTGTTGACTTCTTGCCTCTTACCCTCAGTGGCTCCAGAGACCAAAAAATGTCCACGATTGAGAAGAAACAAATGGAGTTTTTTTTTAAATTTAATTATTTTTATAATCTACTGAGTTCAGCATTGCCAGCGCTCTTCAGAACATAGCCATTCTCTGTGACCACATTTGTCCAGACTGTTACATCACCTTCTGCTCTCCTAGGGCTGGGCTGTGTTACCTCCCTTTCCTTCCTCTTCCTGAAGGGGGCGCTATTCAGTTCATCCTTCTGTTTTACCATCTCATGATATCCTGTGTTCTCATTCTCAAATTATTCCATGTGGAATAACTCAAAAGCTCTATACATGCAACTCAGAAGGTCTATAGACGCAACTCAAAAGTCGCCTACCAGGGAGGTATGTGACTTCATTTTTCAGAAGAAAATAGATGTTAACACATCTATTAGCATAAAGTAAATGACTACGTATGGACGTGGAAGACAGATTACAATACAGTCAGCATTTTCTTTTATATGTCTCTCCAGCCTTTAAATATAGTTGTTCTATTTTCTTTACTGACATGTAGATCCCATCCCTCAGCTAGCTGTTATTGTCATCCATATCTTATTTTCTCATGTAGATAAAGGACGGGATCCTAAGGCTTATCTTCTTTTAATAATAATTGAAAGGATTGGGTCTTGGTACTTCACCCTTGGTGCTCTCTAGAGTTCTCCGACACAAAGGAAAAAATAGCCAAGGGGAAAGTGAATTCCTTTTTATTGATAATTACTGAGCATTCAGTACCTTTCCTCATGAGGGACTTCCCTGGAAAGCACGGCAGTATCAAGGGACTCAGGCTGAATTTCAAAGGGCTGTTTCCTTCATCCTATTTTTGAATCCAGAATAAGTGGCCTGTGGATAAGGCGGCTCTCAGTCCATTTATACAGCTAGTCACTATAAAGATGGCTGGGCTGGCCTGGGGACCAAGCCACGACCCTACTGCAGGGAGGAAAGAAAAGCAGGGGTGCCTACTGCTTGGATGCTGGAAAAAATAAGAGGCTTGTCTGGCATAAATCTTGAGACTTACCACATGGCAATTTTTCCCCCAAACCCGGGGTTTGGCCGATGAAAATTTGTCTATTGGCAAGATAGCCAGGTGGGATAGAAGTATGCTTTCCACCCAGCTCACAATTATTAAGTGCATAGGTGCCAAGCACTGTTCTAGTCAATTTACCTTCATTCTTTCATTTAATTTTCATAAGAACCCTAAGAGATAAATGCTACTCATGTAACTGCTATATTAAATAACTACTATAGTATTATCTTATAGTATTAAAAATATAATGCAGTTTTACAAATGCAGGAGTTAGGCTTTCGGGAGTTAAACAACTTGACGGAGGTCACGTAGCTAATAACGATCAGAACTGAACTCGCATCCAAGTCTGGCTGAGTGGTCTGCTGTTTCTACATATTATAATACATACCCTGTTTGGTAAATGGTTGTCAAGAGACTGTATTGCATGTGAATTTATTTTGAAAATTTCCACTGTGTCCATCCTGGCAAATCCACTACTTTATTTCATCACTCAACGAATACATTTATTAAGAGTCTCCTATTTGCCAATTACCACGTGGAGCCATGGAGAACCAAGATTGAGCAAGAGTTCGGTTCTCATGGAAGCATTCTGAAAAGAGGACAGAAAAATCAATCAAATCAAACAATAACGTCTAATAATAGTTTTCTCCATGTTGGGGAAACACAGGCGTCATCTGGAAGCTTCACAGAAGCCTCTGCATCAGTCCCCAGT